GCCTCCTATGGCAACTAGAATATAAGGCAGGCAATCTGGGTGCCGTGTGTTCAAGGAGTTTCACAGCAATCAATTTCTAGCAAATTTCTAGCAAATCCAGGCAGTAGGGACAAACTCCGTAGTCTGGCCATTGCTCTCATGTATGGTGCCCCTTCTCAACAGAATTAAAAGAAGACAAAACATGGCAGCCTAATCTAAATGTCCTCTGCTCTGTTGTCTTGGGCACTGATCTGAGGCTCGTCCTTCTTTCTGTATCTTTCCCTGTCTGTCCGTCCCTTCATGACCCTGCAGCAGAACACGGTGGAAGAAGAGCACAGGCTCAGGAGCCAGACCCCTTCTGTTCAAGTCCTGACTCTGTCACTTACCAGCTCTGTGACCTTGGGCAAGTCACTTAGCCTCTCTTGCCTCAGTCTTCTCACCTATCAAATGGGGCTGAGAATAACACGACCTATTTCGTAGGGATTTTTTTTTTTCAGGTAGGCTCCACGCCCAGCGTGCAGCCCAGCACAGGACTTGAACTCACGACCCTAAGATCAAGACCTGAGCTGAGATGAAGAGTCGGACGCTTAACCTACTGAGCCACCTAGGCACCCCCTAGGGATTTAAAGGGCGTAAACTAGAAAGGGATTAAGGTAAAACAAAAGGGCCATATAAGGGTTAGCTATTACTATTTTTTTTTCCCCTTCCTATCTTCTTCCCTTTGCTTTCTTTCAATAAACACTTACTGAATATTCCCTAGCAACAAGTCTCTACATAGGATGCTTTGTAAACTTCGAACATAGACAGGGTAGAGTCCTTGTCCTCCAAGGAAGGACAGAAGGTATAATGCTACAGGAGAAAAAGATCACCAGTCTGGGGTTTGGGGGATGGGGCTCTGGCCCCAGCAGCATCACTAACTTCTTTGTGGTCTCCTCACCTGTAAGCCCGAGACCCTTCCAGGGATGTTGACAACAGAAGGCAATAGTACCCAGCCAGGCCCCACACACCATGCCAGCTGACTGATGATACCATCAGCACCACAACTCAGAGGGGAGAGAAAGGGTCGCTAGCCGGGCCGGTCACGGACGGCTTCATGGGCTCCGGATTTATGTGTGGCCCCGAAGGGCGGCTCGGAGGTAGGGAGATGGGATTGAGGGGAGGATGGATAATGTGCAGAGGCACAAGAGGATTTGGGAACTAGTTAATAGCACATTTTGGCGGCCGCGGAGAACAGGTTTGGGGAGAGCAGGAGGGAAAAGAGATGTGTTCCGCCTTTGGAGGCCGGTGTGCATACAACGAGGGGCAGGCCATGAGGAGGAACTCATTCCAGGACAGTGGTACGGGGGACGTCTGGTGGTGGCCTGCAGGATGGGCCAGGTGGGGAGCGGACAGTTGGAAGACAACTGCACAAGGCAGCCTTGAAGACTCAGAGGCTTGGGAGGGAGGCCCCCCCCCTCCACGGGACAGCTGCCTGGTCTGGAGAACTCCCGTCCCCACTCTTCTCCACAGGTCTCTCAAGTTAACAAGAGGATGACAGCAAAGTGTAAGCACAGTAAGAACTTAGTAAACATTCTCGAGAAGGCAAAATAACGCCTGTGAGAACAGTTGTGAATGAATTACTATTCACCTGGAAGTCAGTTATTGGTGAAACACATAACAGGTGACAGCAAAAGGAGGCGGCCCACGGAGACTTCACCCAGGTCACCGGCCCTGTGAGCCGGGAGAATATGACAGAAAGAGAGCTGGTCGTCCAGGGGAATGTCAGGATTGGAGGAATGGCATGCACCTCCCCTCGACTCTCCAGTCAGAACGGCCGTGGTTACTGGACGCCGTAACTGCTGTGTAGACTAGGGAGAAATTAAAGCCAATGCCCTCCCTGGACCTGGATCCCTGACCTACACTCCTGGTCCCTGAGGAAGAGAAGAGAGTTACACCCTCAGACTCTCAGCCTAAAGCCACCAATGGTGCCAATCACAGATACCACCGCATCCCATAAAAAGACAGTATGCGCAATTGTTCCCATTTTCAAAGTGAGAAAATTGGACTGAGGTCACTTGGTGAGTTGGTAACAGCTGAATCCAGAGCCTGGGACTTGTCATGGACTTGAAAGCCTGGTCCCTTCCCAGATGTCTCTCAGGACGGTTTTCTTGCCCCAGTCAGCCTTCACAAACAGATCTAAAACCACAGTGCAAAATACAAGAGCGTGAAATTGGAAATAAAATAGGTGCTTCTACATTGATTTAAATCCCATTTATTTTTAATAACCACTGAGGTTAGGCTTTGCATGAGAGGTGAGAGGTTGGTTTAAATCTTGATGAATGTCTTGGTTGACTAGTAAAATACTGTCATTCTGCTCAGGTGAAGAAAAGGCCCATCGAAAAATATCACACTTATTTAGCTTTTCTTAAAACTAAGTGCACATCTCCTGGACATTTTCTTCTGTGGTCTTGGGCACCTACGATTTGCCAGATTTTGTTTACTGGTATGTTCCCTTCCTCCAACATGTGCGGATAGATATGTGTCTGTAGGTTTATGGCAACGAAAGGGCTAATGCTCACCCTGTCACAATCACACATAAATTCTCATCCTAAATGGGAATCATTTGTCCTCTTAGTTAAGTGTTGATGGCCATGTTTATAAACTGAAGACATCTGGCTCAGAATGGGGGCTCAGACAATTGCAATAAAAAATAATAGTAATACGAATTGGTTAGTAGGAGAGGCTTCAGTGTGAGCAAAAACAATTATGTCAATAAGCCTAACCTAATGTGGAAGTAAATGAGAATATCGGGCCATGAATCAAGAAGCTCACATAGGCATTGTTTTAATTAAATCCATGAAGCGTTGCTGTTCCTCGTACTTCCCGTGGGTCCCTCCTTCCATTGATCTTGGGGGTCCCCTCTTTACCTCCAGGCCTGGAACAATGCTTCTGGGCTTTTCCCACAATCATCTGCTTCTCCTTATACATCGTTCCATAGTTGGGGTGACCCCTGTCAGTCTTGCTTAGTGATGGGTGGTGAGTCTCTCATCAGACTTAATCTAAGAACCCAAAGGTCTCTCCTTTACCTGAACAACAGCAGAAGAAATTTGTCTCTTAAACTCACTCCCTGAGCTTTCGAGTTCATACCCGGCCCAGTTGTGTCCCATTCCCAGGGAAGAATATCCACCATTGCTCAAAGTAAGAACAACAAGGTTTCAGGTTGAGATAGTCCCTTTCTTCCAAAAGCCTGAAATAGCAGGTGAGTGCTTCTTTCAATCTGTTCAGATTTTAGTCAGCACATTTTGGTTATTCTAGACCCAGAAAATCCTCAGAAATCAGAATTCATTATGGAGGGTCAGAACAATGGAGATGGATGCCGGTCAACCAGGAATTAATGAGGATTGCGGAAATCCAACCAATTTCACCTGGAGATCTCTGTGGCCATCCATCTTTTCCACCATCTGCTCCAAATTTGGCCCTATGCCCTGAGAGGTAAAAGACAAATGCATCCATCTTAAAAGTCCACCCAGGTGAAATGCCATTAAATTGCATTACTGTCCAGAACTGCAGAGAGAAACATTTCTTTCCTAGTTAATCTGGCAGCCATCAGTTGTTCCCCCATTAACTTGAGAGAAGCATCTGGTTTATGTGTTAGAATAAAATACCTCACAATCTATCAAAATTAAACCCCAAAGAGCTATTACTGAAATGAAGGGCGGTCTCTTTTTTGTTGGAGGTAGGTAGACGCATGCTTTCCCACAAAGTTCATGTTCTGGCATACTTATCTTTGGGATCTGCATTCCCTGGATGAATAGGAACCTAATAATCATACCTGTTTTATGATTTTAAGCATTCCAGGTTAGCATAAATTAAAGCACATTCATACGGCTGTTATTGTGAAAGACAAAAGCCACCTCATGGTAAAATATTATTCTTCCTGAGGGCTCTCAGATACCTCTTTTAGCGTGTCTAGTATCTACACGTATTCTGTTTTTCCTGCACTTGTTTGTGCTCTGATATAGAGTCTAGACAGAGCACAGAGACAGAGGAAGGTCTTTCAAAAATGTTTTTAGACCAGAGAGGATAGAAAATTGACCCACTGGATTTTAGGACACCTAAAATAAGATTTCTTTCGTTATATCCTGATCTCACTTCATGAGAAATAGGTATATTCCTGAACTATCAAATGGAAGTCACATATTAATAAATTGAATCTCATTATCTCATTATTTAAAGGAATTCCCTCTCTCCTCTGTGTGTACGTGTGTGTATGTGTGTGTGTGTGTGTGTGTGTGTATTGGGTTCACATGAACAAACAAATATTTCAAATCTTTTTTAAGCTAAAGACTATCTTTCTTGAAACAAGTATTTTGAGGGGCACCTGGGTGGCTTAGTCAGTTAAGCACCTGCCTTCGGCTCAGGTCATGATCCCGGGAGTCCCAGGATCGAGCCCCGCATCGGGCTCCCTGCTTAGTGGGGAGTCTGCTTCTCCCTCTCCCTCTGCTCCCCCCCCGCCCCCTGCTTGTGCTCTCTCGCTCTCACTCTCTCTCTCAAATAAATAAAATCTTTAAAAAAAAAAAAAGAAACAAGTACTTTGAAATATACTCTTGTTCAACTCCAAATGCTCTCTCCCTTATTTATTTCAGAGTTCTCTGAACTAAACTACATTGGTTAGGGAGAGAGGAGAAAGAGAGCAGGTGGGAGAGAGGGTGCGAGAAAGAGAGTGAGTGCAGTCGGAGAGCTCAAGCAGACAGGTCTGCCCACGGTGCCCCCCAGCTACATGGGTCCTTGATGAGCATGAGAAAGGAGGTGTGTGTCTGTCTGCTCCCTCCCCAACCTGGCTCAGTTCTCTTGTAACCTGCATAGTATAAGCACCTTGACAGACTCAGTGGGCATGTGTATTTTACACAACATGCCACAGCTGCAAAAGAGACCATGACTGGTTGACACTTGGACACTCAGTCTAGAAAAACTGGTCAAAGCATGGAATCATAAAAATGATACTCTCCTTATAGATAGATAGATAGATGATAGATTCACTGATACTTATGATATATATTCACAGATATTTATGTGTCATCCTTGTGCAGGGGCCATGCTAATCTCTCTCTCCTTCCAGCTTTAGTATATGTGCTGCCAAAACGAGCATTATATTCACAGATATTTAAATATATGAGTGTACACTCACTCACAAATTTGGTACAGGTGCAATGCCTTGTCTTCCACTCTCTGGAAGTCCCAGTTTCCTGAATAAACCAGAAATCTGCTATGATTTTCAGGTTCCAGTTTCCTTAAAGAAGATAAAAAATCCAAAGACAGCTGAAAAGCAATTTGAACTGCAGAATCTGCCTAGATTTTTATGACGTTCCCCACAATCTTTTAAAGTTATCTTGTTTATACTTAATTTGCCCACAATTTTTGTTCATCCTGGACAAGTCTTTCCAAGACAATGGTGTAGCTTCACAGAAACACCTCTCCTTTTCACACTCATGTACCATGTGTTTACATAACATTTAGTTACATCTTAAATGGAAAAAGTACACCTGGTGTAAACAGGTTTGTGAACAAACAAGTCTCAGTTGGCTTCCGATTGCCCTGATCAGGGAAGTAGGAGAGGCCACAACAGAGTAGCTGCCTCGCCCGAACCCCCCCCCCCCCCCCGCCGCCTGCCAGGCGCAGAGACATCTGGCCCGCGTGCTGGGGGACCAGGGCACGGCCTGGCTGGGAGTGGACCCAGGGAGCTTCTCTGAATCTCAGGTGAGACTCAACCAAAGAAACAGCTAACGAGCTATTCTCATGCCGGAGAGGAAAGCAACTGACCAGGTTGGCCCTAGGGAGAAACTGTAGGTCGGTCTCTAACCTGAGGCCTTTCTAAGGCTTTGAAGGGTAATTTTGTCTGCTCGATTCTTATCTTACATACTACTGGATAAACTTCCTCATAAGATGCGGTAACACTGCTGTAAACAGAACAGAAAGAAAAGTAGTCATGTTTTTGGCCAGAGAAAAACCAAAAAGGCAGAATATATGTTATATATTAATCCCTAAAATTCCAACTGGATCGAGAAATCAGCTTAGTTGCCTTGGTTCATTACTTTGGACCAAAGTCCATCATTTTACTCCTCCCGGCTGCTATCCAGGGTTTGGATAAACGTATCGTGGATGAGAGGTATCCGAAGCTGAATCCCGCCTCAGTGTCAAGGAGCGCCCACCCAAATCATCCACATGGGCCAATTCTACTTCGTTGCCACTTTGCAACACTTGGAGCTGTGAGGGATGGTAGATTTAAAGGGCCTTTATTTAGCTCCTGCATTTTATTTATTTATGACTTATGATTTACATCCTGCCTACTTCCACGAAAGATTTGAGGCAGCTTAGCTCTTCAGTTAAGCCCATTCTCAATCAGTTCAGTCACTTCTTCATCCTGCTATGTCCAACTTCAATGGAATAGTCTCCCCAGTGTGATCAATTACCTCAGACCCCTGTGTTCTGGGCCTTCCACTGAGCAACAAAGGCAGTGCCTTTGCAGAGTCTGTGACCTTTGGATTACTGCCCCAGCAGTACAGGAAATTCTGGCAGCCCTTCCCAGGGCATTCCCTTTGGTGTCAGGACCTCTCAGGGGTGGCGTAGGGTGTGGGGACCCACAAGGCCGTCAGCAGCTCCACAGCCCGCGCAGAGGGAACTGAAGAGTGGCTTCAAGGACCCTCCCTGGTCAGGACGTAGGCTGTCAATAAGCATCCCATCTAGTAGGGGTCTCCGTCAAGATGTTCAATAATCACACAGCCTTTTGTGAGAAACGAGAATGAGCAAAGCCTGAATCTCAGCTACTATGGATCTCCACCCCTCCACTGCCACCTGTCAAGTCTCTAACTCAGTGGAGCAAAGTACCCACAGGTGTTATTTCAATTTGCCATGATCTTTCTGGGCTGAACAGATCACCTAACTTTACTATGCTTGGTTTTTCTATCTAGATCTTAGTGATGAAAACACTGGTCACGGGCATGCTTCAAGAACCCCAGGGAGAGAACTGCCATGTGTGGCTACAGCGAAAGCCCCCGAATGTCGCTGCGCCTGAGGGCTGCTCCTATCTGACGCCCTGCTCAGGCACCCAACCTCTTGCTCTCAGCTTTTCTTTGTAAGAATGGCAGCTGCTTATCTCAATGCCTACTACTCTTCCCGGATAGTGAATAAAGCACTGCATTCAATCATTTACTCTTGTAGCCTGCACCCCTGGTAATTCTGCTGAGGGGAAAAATTTTATTCGGCACCTAGGACACAGCTGTCAATGTAAGGGATTGTCCTCAGACAGAGTCTGAAGACATCTCAGACAGAGATGCCTCACACCATCTGAATATATTTTTCCATTAGTGGGCACAGATTTGCATGCATCCTACTCACTCTCCCACCAACCTTTTCCCATCCAATAGCAGACATGTGGAAACAGCTGGTGGAGTCTTTGGGAGCAACCCGTGGCCATGGAATAGTATGCAGCTAACGTGCATGCACAAGGAACAAACCCATGACCCACAGTCATAGAGTCACTAAGGACTGAAGTTAATGAATAGACAAGAAGATCCAAACGTTGGTCTTGACTGGAATGGAAGCTATCTTCACAGAATAGGAAACTCTGGGCTAGATTCCCCACGGGTCTACCTCAGTGGTCTGCTTTTATCTGCTAATCAGCGCTCTGTCCCAACCACCTGACGAACCAATTACAGACTTAGAACATGCTAGACACACCAGGGACAGGACTTTGAACTATTCAGGAATAAAATGACAACGAAGCAATCCATAGACTCTATTTTATGTGTCTGAAGTATAGGTAGGTAAAATGTTTATTCTATATTATTTTAATCTCATAAGTTAAGGCAAGTATACGTAGACCCTTGTCCTGGGTATAAAAATGCATATAGACCAAAAGAGAATCACGCTTCTCTATCTATGAAGCACTGCCAAATGCTACTCTTGTGTGGTCTCACTATGACAACCTTGCTTGACAATCGCGGTGACAGGCATGTTCTCCATCATCGGCAGATCAAGGTGTCCCCTCACGTTGCTGAGCTGCTGTCCTCCTGGGCACTTACCGGCTCCTGGGCTCCCACTCCCACAAACTCTCTAGGAACACTCCTCAGCCACAGAAGGAGCTTTCTCCTGTTCTTTGCAAACAGAAGACACCTGTGGAAAAACTTGTGCCAGGGCAAATGTCCCGAGAGAGAAGTGGATGACAGTATGACAACTGCCTGGGCTTATGTCCCCAGCCTATCACTTTCCAGAACAAGTTATCCAGTTTCTCGGAGGACTCTTGGTTCCCTCCATGAATTATGAAGAAAATAAAAATAATATCTACATCCCATGTTCCTACACGGATAAAAGGAAGGCAGGTGATTTGAGAACAGTATGGCACCATCCAAAGAAGAGTTTAGATACAGGGAAGCCCGGGAAATTAGACAGGCCAAGATCCTGGGACCAGGGGAGGGAGACTGACAAGGGACTCTAGAGTGGGCCTGGCTCATTTCTCTATTTCCCTTTCCTGGCTCCAAGCACACCCCTTCCCCCCGGGTGATGACACTAGGCCACCTAAACTCTGTCCCAGTGTGTTGTTATACAAGGAGCTACGGTTGTCTCAAGCAAAGTCCCAGGTAGTGACGCAGCACGGGTAGTTTCCAAAGGAAATTTTCAGAGTCCAGAGTCATCCAGCACTCTGACGGAGTTGGACTCCGTGACGGTTTGTTTGTTTTCAGGTGCTATGTTCTACCTCATGACCACTAGCTCCCATCCATCTTTCCTTCCCTAAAGCGCCAAGTAGAGCATCCCCAGGAAATGTCTGCTGAAGAATGAGAACAGGGATAGGGATTTATCAGTTGATTATTCATGATCCACATAAAGTAAGGGCCATAAAAGCACCGAATGCCACCACCAAAAAATCCCCCACACAAAAAATTTTGTTAATAGCCCTGATAAGAATGGATACCACCAGGGAAGATGGCAGGTCTCTCAGGAACTTTGAGACTGACTTCCTGACCATGATGCATCTCGAATGCCTCACAGGCCTGTGGCGATACTGATCCCCTCAGCCCTCGAGCAGCTGGGCACAGCCTGAGACAGCTGGGTGACTCCAGCGTGCTGAACAAAATGTTAGCATCCTCCATGTTCCTCGTCATGTAAGGGACCCCAAAACAGCCATAGCAATGTGGAACTGCAATCCTAAATATCTCCTCTTTATAATACAGAGAGCCAGAGATAAATTGGATGCTTGGTTGCCCAGTTTCATTTATTTCCTTGCCTGATTCTGATATCAAGCCCTCACAAGCAGCCTATGAATGAGGCAGCCACAATTTACAGGTGCATAAACGGACCTCCAAGAAGCCAAGGGACTTGCCCAGTGTCATCCTCCTCTAAGCACCAGCCTGGCCCAATTCTGCTCATTCTCTACCTCCTGCACAGCATGGAAAACATAGCCAGCCAGAGGGTGTGCCTAATTCCTCAGTGTGACTTTTCTTCTAATGAATGTAATCTTAGAAGATGTGAGAGCGGAAACCAAGGGTGAGAAGTAAGGACATTACAATGGGAAGACGGTAGAGCAGCTTGGGGGGAATGCTGGCAAGATGGAATGAATCTTACTTGGAGGCCAAGTGGATACCACAGTGGAAAGATCACAAATGGTGCAGAGAGGTCTGGCCGCAGGCGATGGCGGGATGAGGAAGAGACTCTTGTTGGAGGGGGGGCGTAGGGTCTGACTGTCGTAGGGCCAGATGGCTACCCACCCAGGGCAGGATGTCAAACAAGCTTTCGGGCATGTAGGGATGGGGGCCACCTAGAGATGGTGGATGAAGAGCAATCATTTGCCCAGAGAAGGAGGCTGAAACTCTGGCTGGCTGAGACCTTGCAGGAGAATACAGCCCAGATCTGGAATGTGAGGGGGTCACTGAGCTTCCTATGGGGAGGTCCAGGAGATCTGTGATCCCCGGGTAACATTTATAATTAATTGGAGAGCTAAATAATTACACCTTCCCTTTAAGCTCCTCTTACATGTATGTCACGTGATTCAGTTAAAGAGTACTCTTGACCTCAAGGTCCTGAACCTAACACTGAAGTGCACTGTAAAAGGAGTCTTCACTCTGCGGAGCCTCAGCTCCTGGGATGGCTGGGATC